AGTACGGTCGTTCTGGAGTGCCCGCTGAATAGTACGAAGTAGAGCCTTTTCGAACGTTGATTCCGAAAGTCCGGTTCCAGTGGCAATAACGGCTCGTCGAGCCTCGTACCCATTGCCATAAATTTCCTCTGCCCGTCGCATGATGGCATGAAGTCCATCAATGGCTAAGATGTCAGTCGCAATGTCTGTCTGAGCCTCGGCAGACCTGAGTTGCTCAAGTATTTCCAAACCCATGAGACCCTTGGAGTCAATGATCTGCAAAGCATAGGCTATGCCAATCTCCTTCATCCACGCCGCCAGTTCCGGAGGGAATTCGTTGTCATCCCTTTCCAAAAGGCAAGCCAAAATGCCTATCAGGACGTAGCCACCTGTATCTTTGTAGTGTCTCTCTTGGATTTCGCCCCTGAAGAGGAAATTTGCAATGTGGTCCAGATTGCAATCGTCATCAGCACGGTCGCTGGTCTTACAAAGACCGTATGCGTAGGTCTTGAAGGAATCTGCCCACAACTTCAAGTCTTTCTCTCTATTGCGCAGAAAATCGGCGGGCCAGGAACATCGCTCCGCTGGGAAGTAGGTCGCCATGATTTGATAGAAGATATGACGCAATTGCGTGTCCGGAGTTGGTGATGGAAGTGGAGGCGTCGAGGGATGCCTTTGGACCTCGGCTTCAAGATGATGAAGGTAGCAAAGTTCCACTACTTGTGGCTTTGGATGCAGGGGACAAAATGCTTTTGTTGTCGAGACTATGTGGCCGGGTCTTGACGAGCTTGCATTAGACTCCTCGAAGTGCAGGGAAATTTCAGAATCGTGGAGAAGTTAGTAAATCAAATGGGAACATGAGAGTGTTGCGCTGAGACTTACGGGAGACGCCTAACGTCGAAGTCGGTTGAAGCACTTGATCACGAGATGAGGGAGGGTGGAGTTGGAAAGAATTTCTTGGGTTGGAGGAAAGGAGGAAATGCTGGTATTTACAATAGAAGTTCCTAGCCTCCGTCACTTCCTGTTAAGTCAATTAAATGAGTGCCTTCCAAATCTTCACGTCTTTCCGATGAATCTAGAAGAGGCAGGTACTTTCCAAGAAAATCTGGACGGAGCGACCACGTCGAGCGATGCGAATAAGCGGGAGCGTAGCTGGAAACCTCGTATCCTTTGTATTTCGAGCGATCCGAGTGAGAGGAGAGAGCCAGGTTCCAAAGCAGCACTCAGTTTTGTCAATATATACCTTAGAACTTCTAGAATGTTTGTTTCCGTCTAGCCATCCTTCAGTTGTAGCGATTAGGTGGCACTCGAGTTCATGTGCACACCTTTGTCAATTTCTGAGTCGATTAATGTTTTCCGGGCCCGTTTATCCTCTTATTCCAGCTCAAGTAAGCAGAGGCCGACAGGTGCCTTTAAGTTTCGGGCTGACCGACCTCTTTCGTTGACTGACCGAGTCCCAGCTTGGAAGTCTCGGTCACGGTCGGTGTGATACCTACCCCCCGCAGTCCCACCAGGCAGCAGTGGCAGGGGGCAGGAGTTCGTCCATTCACAGTGTTGTTGGTTGGTTTAGGAAGCGAGACTTGAGCTCAATAAATCTCTCCGTCGCCGCGAGATCCTAACTTCTCTTGCTGCTTCAATCTTCCAACTTGGTGCTCACAATGGCTTCAATATTGTCTTGCCCCCCAGAGATCACGCTGCTGATTCTCAGCCAATTCGACTCATTCTCCGACATCGTAGCCCTCGCCAAGACATGCAAACGACTGCACTCTCTATGGCTGGCCGTCCCTCCCACTATCATCTGGTGCATCGCGCCGAGCCGCATTCCCGCATTCGATGAAGCCCTCATGGCCGTAAGTCGTCTGCAAGCACCTGTTGCATCTTTGCTGACCCCCGCAGGTACGAGCCACCAACCTTGTCAAGCCCGCCTTTAGAAATGGCCACATGCCGCCACGCATCGATGACCTCGCGAGCCTCAGCGGCGCATCGACAAAACCAACCTTATCGGAACTGATACAAGTCATCGACCTCCAGCATCTGGTCAGATGCCTACAGCACATGTTCTACTTTTCGAACGACTCAGACAATGGCGAATCGCAGTGGACGACTCACGTCAATCTGTTAGGCGACAAGAGGCTGCCTTGCTGGTCCCAGCTAGACAGTCCAGGGAAGCGCGCCTTCATCATGAAAGGGTGGTTTGAAAACTTCAGCCGCGCCTCATACAGGCTGTTTCTTGCGGGCGCTGTCCTCGCCCACGCCTACCACGAACCGTACTTCATCAAGCGGCGACAAGACGATTCAACGCCCTTGTCTGCAGTCTACAGCTACCGAGTCGACATCGAAAAGGACGCAGGCACTTTTGGGCCCCTGTGCGACTGGATCGTCAATGCCACGAGAGTCGAGGCTTCCCGCAGAAAGTTCGTGCCCGTCTGGAGAAGGCCCATGAAGCCCGAGCCTGCCGGTGACGACGAGAGCGACTACGAGGATGACAGACGCATAGACCGATTTTATGAAGACCTTCCTGATGACGACGACACGCCCGACGTAGATACGTCCAACGAAGACATTTTTGGGTTGTGGAATGTGATGGCCATGCTGGCGGCCTACGAACTCACACGAATCCGATTCTATGACCCCCCAAAAAACAGCAGGCCAACCTATTCACACTGGAGTCCACATGAGACCTACGGACAAAACATGCCGGAGGTGTGGCTGCCCAAAAAGCGCCCAGACGAACTGCGCAAAGTCACGGTCATCTTGTTCGGCGATTTCCATCTCAAGGAGATCACCATGCCCGCTACGGTCGAGGACTCCAAGAACATCCTGCTGGCGTGTCGGCGCATCGTCCCACCAGAGCAGCCCCTGGTACCAGCCGCAGTCGTCACGAACCAGACGCCTTGCAAGAAGTCCCGGCCCCTCTACTTTTGGAACATCCCAGAACGGCTGTGGAATACCCCTCTCCCCGAAGACCTCGACGTCCCCCATCAGTGGCCCGCTCCTGCGCTCGAGCTCAAGTTCCTCAGCCACATGCTCCGGGTGACATGGAACGAGAAAATCGAACCGCAAGACCCAAATTGGCTTAACTCTTCGTACAGAGACTTTATAGCGGATGGAAATGTATTTCACGAGTACAAGTACCTCTACGACTATGGCCTCCACTATTTGGAACGTTATGAGTAGGTGCCACGGGGTACGCCTTATGCTGAACATCAGGACGTTCTTTGCAGCGAAGCCTCGGAAACAATATTTTTTGAAGTGAAGAGTGGTATGTGCAGGAAGCTTTGGGCTATTTACAGTATTTTATGCCCAACATATTTCATGAAGTCGTAAGAGTCCCTCCTCAGCAAGTGCTCCTCAGCAAGTGAAGACGGCCGGGCCAGGGACCTTGTACTCGCCAGCTGTGCAACATGTCAGCTTATTGGTCTTTGACAGTAATCAACATTTGACTCACCCTTATAGGCATCAAAGGTGATGCCGGGATCGGTGGGCGAGTAGGCGCCAGGGAAGGCGACAAGATCCGTCGGTGCGGCGGTGCCGGAGCCGGAGACGTCGAGCTGGTGGCACGACGGGTAGAACTGGGCGCCGGGGTAGGCGAAGGCGGCGTGCAGCGCGATGGTCTCGTGGCGGACGAGGTACTTTCCGGGAGCGAGGCACTCGGGGATGGTGAACTCGTAGGTGTATCCCGGAGACATTGTGGGGGTCTGCTTCGGTCAGTTGCATGAAGTCGGTGGGTTGGGGAGGTAGACTCACGGAACCCCAGTCACCGTTGGCGCCGCGGCGTCCGTCCTCGTGGACCTTGAAAAAGACGGCACTAGGAGATATCAGTGCTGGTGTGATTTGTCAGGAGAGCTGTTGCATACTCGGTTCCGGGCTCGTAGTCCTGGCATCCTGAGTCGGGGCACTTGGCCATGTAGGTGATCATAGGGCCGACGTGGGACTCGGGCCACAGCGTCCACCGAAGACCAACAGTCGAGCCGGCAGCAGCGGGTGCGTGAAGGGCTGCGGGCTTGGATCCGGGCAGGTTGCCGGCAGTGTAGCCGCCGCACTGGAGGTCGATGAGGGTAACGTCCTCGATGGGGCCGTTGCCCTGGACGAGACGGGAGACACGCTCGGGCTGTGATGGTCAGCGGGTATAGTGTTGCAACAGATGTCGTCTACTTACAGCGGGGTTGATGTACGGGTCCTGGAAGGGTTGATAGAACTAGAGGACCTCAATTAGCAACAGTCTTTCCTTCGAGCCACAAGTCCCTTACCTCGTACTCAACACCTCCAATGGTGGCGTTGTCGACGAAGCCGTGGGCCGCAGCCAGGCCGGCGATGCCCAGGAGGCCAAGAACAGGAGCGAACGAAGGCATGTTGATGGGTTAAAGAGAGTGAGCTGAGGATGGTTGCAGCGATGCAGAATCGAACCAAACAACGGGAATGTCTGGGTCTATTATACTACCGCGCCGTTGTGATGCCCCATCGCTTTTTTCCCATCGGTCATCGGCCGCCTTCTTTCAATATACCCGGGACGTTCCACGAGGCCCAGTAGCGTCCACGTTCATGTCCGCCCCTGGGCGCGGCCATGGAGGTCCCCCGTTGGCGCCGGCGGCCCCGTCCGAACGCACTGAGCCCGAAGTGGCGCGCGGAGCGTGGTGCTGCGCGGCGGCGTGGGGCCGTTGTCGTCTTTTCGAAACCCGTGGTGTTTGGGGACCGGGATGCGGACATCTGAAGTTGATGAGCGTGGGGCGGCCAGGCGACGCTGAGTGCGCCGATCGGCGGCGCGGAATCATCTTGCCAATGAGGAGGCTGGTGTTCCGGCTGATCTTTGCTTGATGGGCGATGACGTCCGGAGTAAACCGATTCGGCGGACCGAGATGCCCGACATGGGATGATGGGTGATATCCAGGAGGAGAAGAGTTCAAGTCGACAACTGCTTTGCAAGAAGCGGACGCCGAGGGCGGAGACCATCAGCGGAGGCAGGCCGGTCCGGCGGGCAGGCTGTCAACCTGAACGCCGGGTGGAGCAGAAAACTCCAAGCATCCCTGGTGGCCTAGCTGGTTACGGCGTCCGACTGTTATCCGCTTCAACGGACAGCACATCGGGAGATCGACAGTTCGATCCTGTCTCGGGGAGTGTCTTCCTTTTGATCTTTTTGACTGATGATATGTCGAGGATGATTACCAGCCTCGGCCTTGTGGTCAATCTTGGGATGTCTTCGTTGAGAGGCTGTTGTGACTCGCTGCAGCCCGTGCCGTGGATCGGGCTCAGCGGTTGAGGGCGAACGGTAGACACGTCGAAACGAAGAGAATTCGCGGATGGTGTCAGTCGAAGGAAGCTGGGGTCCTGGTTGGATGTCGGCGTCGCCAGGTGGATAGGATGGTCGAAGGGATCTCGGAGAAGTTCGAACTTCGAGGTGGCCTCGCCATGACCCTGGCGGCAGGCGATGGCAAGCGGGCGGGCAGCGACTGGTGGAGGCGTCAGGAGGACCGACTTCGGCAATAATGTAGAAAACAAACGACCGAAGGCCAACGGTACAGATTCTGGTGATGGACGTTGTTGGAGTGGTTTCTGAAGATGAAGGCGTGGTAATCCAATTGGTAGGTTGTATGGGAGGCAGCCTGGAAGTTTAGGCGGGCAGGCACCTAAATCGCCCCGCTAAACACCATTGCAAGAAGGCATCTTTCATCGGCGGCAGGAATGAAGCTTGAAATCCATGGGCCTGTCAACCATTCCATATCAACGAAATGAGCGAACAAAGGGCAGAAACATCAAAGGCATCGTGGCTACCTATCTTTCGCCTGAGAGATCTTCTGCTCCAGGCTCTTCATGCACGGCCAAGACTCTTGGCCTCCAGCTGCACCGTCCTCTCAACATCATCCTCAAGACTGACATGATTCGGTGCCCAGCCCAGCAGCTCCCTCCCGCGCCGGGCCTTGCTGCGGGCGTTCGACCCGTACAGCGCCGTGGGGCGGTGCAGGACCCCATTCACCTCCTCTGGCGACACACTCACGACGTCCTCAGCGGGGATCAGTCCCCGCTGAGCAGCAACCTTGGCAACCCTTCTCGAGATGTCCTCGAATGTCTACACCATGTCAGCAGCTGTCAAATCAGAAATCGAGAGCAGACGCACCAATTCACCGACGCTGGTGAGGTACACCCCGTTCGCATTCCAGATTCGCTCGTCAGACTTGCCATCCACGGCTGCCTCCACGAGCTTGACAAACAGGTCACTCAGATCCTGGACGTGGACGTTGCCCCAGCGGCTTAGGCCTCGCCCAAGCTGCAGACCGCGCCCGCGCTGGATGGTGGCCTTGGCGAGGTCGGGGATCTGCATACTGCGCTGGTTGACAGGGCCCCGACCTTGGCCATAAATGATGGGCGGGATCACAAGAGCGGTATTAACATTTGAGGTCTCGGCGGCGCGGAAGAGGATGAAGTTGTCGACGGTCCGGGCGGGGTGGCGGCGGACGATGTCGTTAATGTCGGAGAGGCTGTCAAGGTCGTCAAAGACGGTGTCGCTCGGCTCACCGGCGATGAAGTCCTTGTCGGCCAGCTCGGCAGCGGCAAGGAGGCTTGCGCCTGAGATTTGGATCCAATGGGCTACTTCGTGTTAGAATGGTCGGGCGTGTGAGAAGCAGGGTCAGAACGTACCTTTCTTTCCATCCCGAGATGACAAGGCCTTGTGGATGGTCTGCACGCTGTCCAGGTGGCCCGCTGACGCAATGTCTGGGGGTGTTCGTCAGCTTCCTGCGGCGGGGACCGTTCAAGTTTGCTGCGACAAGGGACGCACTCAGCACGACAGTGGCTTCGGCAGCCTCTCGGGCAATGGTCTCAGTATCGTCAAGGCTGCCGCTGACGAGCTGGACGTTCGGGTACGCCTTGGAAATGACATCGCGGTGCGCGTCGTTGCGGACCAAGGCGCGGATGGTGTAGTCGGGATGGACAGTGGCCAGCGCGTGTAGCACGTCGCCGCCGATGTAGCCAGTGGCTCCAGTGCTTGAGTCGCGTGTTAGTGGCTGCGCAGGGTGTGAGCAGGGGGAGACTTGCAGGAAGATGGTGGCCATTTCGCTAGACGTCAACTCGATTCAATTTGGATGGTAGTCGGTTGGATTTCAGTCGATGATTGCAATGATGTCTCCCTCAACCGTCCGTGCTCCCAGCGATGATGACCTTTTGTACCCCTTCCCTATGACCTGAAGCATTAGGAATCCCCCTTGGCCTGCGCGTCTGATTCGGCTGGCGTCGGCGCTGAGCAATCATCTTGCTGACACGACTTGCCCCCCCGCACGCCATATGTCGTCAGACTTGGCCGCTGGAGGTGCTAATCATTTCGCGCTCTTGGCCTGGTTGTGGTTTCTGCTGTAGGGATTGATATGCTGCGCCGGTCGAGCTGCTGCAAGGTCGAGCTGCTGCAAGGTCGAGCCGATACATCGGTTGACCTGCTGCGTCAGTTCACCTGCTGCATCGGTTCACCTGCTGCATCGGTTCACCTGCTGCGTCGATTGACCTGCTGTGTTGAATCTTGCATTTCCAGCAAAAAAAAATCGCTCCTTCCCGTTTGGCAGGAAGGCGCGTGGCCTTGTTGCCCTACCTGACTTTCAAGTGAATTTCACCCCTCATGGGCCACCTGAAAACTCACCACCTCCCTGACTGCCACAACACTGCCAGTCAACATCCTCATCCGGAGAATCTCTTCTGAAAGCTCAGTCAATCCAGTCCACGGTTTCATATCAGGACCATCCGTTACTCGTTACGTTTTCCTCGGGCGATCACCCGTCTCCAAAGCCTGGCCCAGCCCAGCTTTCAGGACACGCGTGTTGCTGCTCTCATTTGAAAAGCAATCAACAACAGCGCGACCTCTTTTCGTATGTGAACCATCAGAGCTGCGTTCGGTCTCCCTCGACAACACAATGCAAGACGCAAAAATTCTCAACGGCGGGTTCCGGCCTCGCAATCATTTGCGCGACGAAGCAGAAGAAGGCGGATCAGCTTCAAACTTCAGACTTTTCGCACGTCGCGCTGCTGTCAACTGGACACCAACCCCGAAGGGCAAGAACAAATCCAATGAAGCAGACAGTCCTGGTGCCAAGCGTGCACACGACCAATCGTCTGGAAAAAACGACACTCGTCAGGCCAACAAGAGAGTCAAGATCACACAAGAAGACGTCCAGTGCACGACTCCGGAGTGGCAACCCTCGGCTTACCCCGACAGCAGAACCGAGGCAGATCTACCGGCGCTGTTTCATTCGACTGAAAAGGAATGCGTGACCTTGGAGGAACACCTTCAGAACCTTGAAGCTCATAGCAGCATCGTTGAACACGATGTCAATACGCCCATCGTCAACCTTGATGCTCACACCGCAACCTCCGAAGCCCCGGAGGATCATACAGAGACTCCTCTTCCTGAGAATCAAACTCGTGAGGAGACTCTTGATGCTCGTGAGGCGGATCTCAAAGCCCGAGAAGAAGAACTTCAAGCTCAGCAGGTTGAGGCGGAGACCCGTTACCAAGAGCTCAAGGCTATTCAAGAGCATCTCGAAGCTCGCGAGGAAAAGGTTAAGTCTCTCGAGACCCAATCAGAGACTCGTAAGGTGGAGCTCGATGCTCGCGAGGTCAATGTGAAGGCCCGCGAAGACAACGTCGAAATTGCGGTGGCCAATGTCAAGGTCGATCTGGGAAGACTGGATGCGCGGGAGAGCGGTCTCTATACACGTGAGAACAGGGCCGATGCTCGAGAGAACGAGGCCAAGAATCTGCAGACCAAAGCAGAAACTCTTCTGAGGCAGCTCAACCCTCGCGAGAGCCAGGTTCAGACCCGTGAGAGCGACATTGAAGCCCTCGAGAAGAAGTGCGCCAAGAAGGTCAACGTTTGCAAGCAAGAAGTTCTCCACGACAGAATCAAGTTGCGAATACGCGAAGCCAATCTCAAACGCCAGGAGGAAGATCTCCAACGCCTCCAGAAGAAGCTCAATACCCGCAAGTGGCAGGCCAACAATCGCCAGAGAAACCTTGATGGCAGGGCTGAGGATGCCTCTGCCTGGGAGCAGGCGCTGCTTACCAAAGAGCGATGGCTCAAAGGCTGGGAGAAATATCTCAATTCAAGCGGCTACTACTGGTGTCCCTACGCCGTCTGGCGTCGGAACAACACGTGAACGACCAACACCCAGAGCAATACGACTCCCTCCGGCAACCAGAGACGTCAATCAAGCCACAGATCCAGGAACCGCAGGCGCAGAAGAGAAAAACGATAAGGGGGCAGTTCCATGGTTAGGAGCATGAACATGCCTGGCAAGACCGAGGGAGAGAGGTCTCAGGCCCTTACCGCTCGGTGGCCTCATCGGGGCGTGACCATCCGCGAGGTAGGAGGGCATTCGAGGTCAGGATGAAGCTTTGTATGGTCTGGACGAGGAACTGGTTCTGTTCACACTTGTATGGGAAAGATGGCATGGCACTTGCTACAGGGGTACACAAGAAATGTACAATTCATAAACGACAACTTGCCGCAACTGTCATCGTGCACGTCAATCATCGCCAACGCCTATACACAGCCAATACCGTACGCCCTTGACGATCTCTACTTCGAATCAGGGCAGTGACACACCACCTCGAGGTTATTTCCCACCGGATCCGTCACGAATGCGCCATAGTATGCCGGGTGGTAGTGTGCCCTCACGCCCGGGGCGCCGTTGTCCTTGGCCCCGGCGGCGATGGCGGCCTCGTGGAACTTGCGAACTTCCTCGCGTTCTGCAGCACAATCGTAAGCATCCACCCATCAACAGCAGCCCCTCGAGACTTACCTGTGGTGCCAAAGGCAACATGGATGTTGCCGACAGTGGACGACTCGACGGCCGTGATCCACCAGTCGGGCTGCTCCTTGCCGATGCCGGCAACTCCAGGAACGGGCTCCATGTGCAGCTTGTAGCCCAGAGGGCCGAGGGCGGCGACGTAGAAGTCGAGGAGCTCCTTGTACCGGTCCTTGGGGACCAAGATGCCGACGTGATCGATGGTCATGGTGGCTGACGGATTGTGGGACTTGGGGGAGGAAAGATCGAATTGAAGGGCTTAGAGTGTTATGTAGAAGAAAGAAGATGAGTGGTTGAGGAGTACAGTTTGAGACAAACACGCGACGCGGC